CCGCAGTCAGCAAACTAGAATTCAGCGATGAAACAGGAGATCTTTTACTTGGCGAACCCGAGACGAAAGTCCAGTTTGCTCTTCCCAGTGATATGAGCATCAGTGGAGATACTAGTAAGTTGTTATTTTTGAACCTATCACTATATACCTATCACATACTCTAGGTCTCTCCTTTTCGCCGAGACCTACTTTGAAGCGTGGTGAATCGGTAAAAGATCGCACCCAGTACAGCATCATTCATAAGACTTCAATGCGCCATCGGTCTATCGCTCTTGATAGCAACGATAGCGGTCAGTTTTAAAAGTTTAACTTTTTAGATAGCCCTTAGTCTCATTGCAGCAAAACGTCCGCGATATGTATCTAGTTTTTATATGGAGAATCATCGATGCTTCTAACAATATTTAACCTTATAGTCTATTTTTCAGACCTCGCTGAGTTACGATTTAAGTACCGCACTAATACTCTTGAACCTAGCATTGCCGAATCCAGGGGTAAAAATTTCTACTTCATTATAGTTGTTTGAAACTTTATTTTTCTCTTACAGGCACAATTCCCGTCCCGAGAAGAGGAGCAGATAGCACCAATCAGTCAAAAAATATGCTAAAAACTTATAGTAGAAATCTGGATGCTAAGTATGTTAAATTAAAGGTCACAGACAAACTTTCTATGAATTCTTCGAGTTCAGCAGCTCGCCCAGTCGACGTGATGTAACCCGAAGCCAGATGAATACGATGAATGTTGATGACTTGGTGGATATGCTTCTTGAAACAACTGTACTCGAGGAGCAAGCTTCAATTGTGCATTGTTTGTGGATGAAACAGTGAGTTTTGGCGAATTTGATTTTTTCAGTATTAAAAACGGAAACGGTTGTATGAATCTGAAGTCATTTAAGATTTTTTAGAATGAATTTCTTATTGACACCTTCTTGCCTTGTAACCATGTAATCATATTCTAGTGGCCCAGAGTATAACACAGGTCTCAATGGGCAGTACGTAACCGTAAAGATGCTCATGGAAGAAGTGTATACGAAGGTAAGTAGTTTTCTAAGAGTGGTCTCTATTATCGCAAACTGTCGCACGTAGAGTTTACGGCGTTTATTGCTCTAACCGCTGTTGAGCGTCAAGAATAGTAGATGTAGTGTAACCTCTACGCTTCTGTAAAAGAGGCATCCTTTAAAGTCATGTATCAAATAACTTGGTGAAAGTCTAGTACGAAAGCGATGTAAGATTAGATACAAGATTTTGTAAAATAACTTGCATTTGAAGTCTTGCGAGGGTCGTATGTGGGCACTAGTGCGTCTGACAGCTGGACTGCTTAACAAACGTCTTGAAGAGCTTGGAAAAGCAGTTACTCATCTGCTTGTAAGACAAAAACAGATTACGGTAAGCAGTGTTAAGCCTGACATCATACACTTAGTTAAACACACCTTTTTCAGGTCGGAATGCCATCGAAAAAGGAAGAAGCAATAACTTCACCAAAAACCAATGA